ATTATTGTTACTTTATATATATATATATATATATATATATATATATAATTATTAAATAATAATAATAATAATAACAATTATTATTATTATTAACAATTAAATGTTATTGTAAAGGCTACTCTCCATTACAACACATTTTTCTTTAATATACATTATTATTACTAATTATACATTGTTAATTATAATTTCATTAATATTGTTTAATAGTAAATTACTAGTAGTATTATTAATATAAATGTAACGACTACATTACTAAACATGTTAGACTAATATATATTTATTATTGTAAATTAATAGAATTACAAACATTTTTACTTTAATATACGTTATTACTAATTATACAGATTATTACTGCTGCCGTTACCTTCAGCATATCTGCGGCTCATTAAATGTTTAATACTATGGTTTAGTCTTAAATAATAATGCATTATTTGTAGCATTATTAAATAAAATTAATGTAAAGACTACTCTGCATTACTAATAATTTTCACATTAATATGCATTATTATTACTAATTTTATTTATATATAATTATTACATAATACATTATTATTAACAATTAATATTATTGTAATGTAAAGGCTACTCTGCATTACTACACATTTTATATTAATACAAAATAACTAATAATATAATATTTTAATATAAATGTAACGACTACATTACTAAACATGTTAGACTAATATATATTTATTATTGTAAATTAATAGAATTACAAACATTTTTACTTTAATATACGTTATTACTAATTATACAGATTATTACTGCTGCCGTTACCTTCAGCATATCTGCGGCTTCATTGCGGCGCTGGGCCATGTCCTCTGACTCTGTGAGGAGGTCGTCCAGCAGGGCGGGTTTATAGAGCTGCCCCACTAACTCGCTCTGTAAGCTGTCCTTCACATGGTTAACCAGGAAGTGCATCACAGCCTTTGGTACACTGCAGAGACAGAGAAACAGAATGAGCAATCTGCTTAAAACATGAAACCAGAAACTGATTCACGTGGCATCTACCTGTCCTGGATGTTTTTACGGACAATGAGGAAATACGACTTGATGAGCCTCTCGATGACCTCGCAGTCCCTCTGTTCACGAGCAGACAGTTTCCGGGCGACCGGCACAGGCTGGCCGAAGATCAGAACAAATCAACACTAATTCATTGTGACCGTGTTAGCAAACAGCTCTCAAAGAGAGCACAAACGCTTTTTGTGCTCTCAGTGTTTATTTACTCGTTTTAAGTCATTTCTGTGGCACAATCAAATGTATTTGTGTTTTATGGACTCACCACATCAAGCAGGTTCACTGCGTATCCTTTCTGAGGGCTGGCGAGGACGGAGCTCTGTGGTTTAGTCTTGTCTTCGCCCTGGCCTTCGTCTCCTTTCTTCAACATGCCTCTCCAAGTCCCAGATCCTCCTTCCTGCTCCCCCTGAGCTCCTCCAGCCATCTGACACGCACAAACAAGAACACCACCACAGGACTGAACAGTCAGCCACTAGTGATTCATGCACCTTCCCATGCAGTCCATTGGGGTTTTACATATTGTTTTTAGGCTTCAAACTTAAACACCAATTTCGGCCTTAAACTGAAAAGATACAACTGCAAAAAACAGCAGCAGTTGTCCAGGGTCTTCAAAATCAACCTTAATATCAACACAGCAAACACACAACAGAAGTCTGAGAAGATCCTGATGAGTAAAATCATCAGATTGGCTTTGCCCCTACACACAGGGGGCGCCACACACCTTAGGGCCATCGCCCTCAGCAGGCGGCTGCTCGGTGGGAGACACTAACTGCCCACTAGGACCTTTTAAGGACTACAAAGAGAGACAGGAAGAGAAGAGACTAGTCAGCTAGAGACGAAGGCAGCAGGTTTTGAACTAATTCTAGAGACTTTCTAGAATTTCTAGAGAGGAAAAGAGAACAAAAGAACATTGCAAATAGCAGCCCGTCACGTTTTCGTGTGAAAAATATACAATATAGCCCCTGATGATTTAACATGATACCTTATCACGGGGCACCGCTGAGGGAAGCTCTCTCATTCGGTTACGCCTCTGCTCCTGTCACGAGGACAACAAGAATAGACTTCACACTGAAATATGTTCTAATCAATGCATTTCGGTCGTAAATCTAAATTAAATCGTCATTAAAAAATCTGTAAACCTCAATGTTGTTGTTCATGAGCCCACAGGCATCTGCGAAGTCTGGGTGTTTGGTGTTGATATAAGCCAACTCAATTGCCACAAGATTGTGAACCTGGAGCACAGTGTAAACACTCATTTAGAGAAGATACACATCATGCACATTAAAAGCATGAGAGAAAAAAACTAAAACAAACCATCTCATTGGTGACTGGTAGCCTCTTCCTGAGAAGAGAAGTGACCACTTCTACTATGGCATCGTGGAGCTTTGGAAACCTAAGCAACTCCTAGGAAAGAAACGTCAATAAAATAAAATCGCAAAAAGAAATTCAAACAATGCTGATAAAACCATCTAATCATTTAACTACCAGCAATTATATTTGACTATTGGATGAAGAAAATGTTGGATAAGAAAAGTAAAATCTGTTTAATAAACATTTAATTTTGTACTCTTTAGCTTCATAATCATATGGAAGCCCGTTTCAGCCACTGAATAAAAAAAACAAGGTTATTGCGACTTTTTATCTCACAATTCGGACTTTTTTTCTCAGAATTTTTTTCTCACGCAATTGCGAGTTAAAGTCCAAATTTGAGGGAGGGAAAAAGACTGATATTTTCTCAGAATTGCGAGTTTATATCTCACAATTATGACTTTTTAACTAACAATTTCGAGTTTATATCATGCAATTCTGAGAAAAAAAGTCAGAATTACGAGTTTGTATCACGCAATTATGAGAAAAAAAGTCAGAATTGTGAGATAAAAAGTTGCAATTACCTTTTTTTATTTTTTTATTCAGTGGCGGAAACAGGCTTCCATATAATCAGCTTAATTACTATAATATATATAAAATTAAACATAATAATTATAAAATAATAATAACACTAATAAAAATACACACACACACACAAATCAAACAATACTGGTAAAATTAATAATACAAATGATATAAAAAATAATATATTAATATTATATAATAATATCATATATTTATTAGTAGAAAGTCACAAAAATGAAAATGATGATAAAACAAAAACTATAATAATAGTAGTAAGAAGAATATAACAGTATAATTAATAAAAATTACAAAAAATAAAACAATGCTAATAAAACTATAATAATATTAATATAATATAATAACTAATAAACACAAATAAAAACAATAACTTCAAAAATACATTTCTTTTTTTAAAACTAATCTAATCACTTTAAGTATCAGAAATTATATTTGAGTGTTGGATGTAAATATGTAGCATATACAGATATGAAACGTTCAAGAGAACATGGTTGGACAATAAACATTTAATTTTGCACATAATAATTACTAAATTAAAACTACATGGAAAATACGCAAAATAAGCACACAAAATCGATACATTTAATATCAACACGTCCTTTAAATTGACACAGTATTAACTCAAAATTCAAAAACTGACACTAGGTGGTAGGTAGGAAGGTCGTTTTTTTTTTTAATCGGCCAATCAAACAGTTATTCGCAATAGCGTTAATCTCAATATGAGCAAATATTGCCTTGGCCATCACTAAAGGCCCATTCACACCTATAACACTGTGTCTACACCGGACGCGAAGGGCGCGGCGCGACAAAATACTATAGAACCCATTATAATCAGTGATGCGGCGCGGCGCGACACGACAAATCCCCTGTCGCGTTCTATTTATGACATACTGACACAAATTTCAAATGATTTTCAACGGTCACTGTCACATCCAGTGTAGACAGACTTTAGCTGTTGCTGCGCAACATGACAACTGTCGCATCCGGTGTAGACACGGTGTAACCCAAACTCTATTAGCATCCATTCCACACCAAAATTCTGTTCATGCTAAGCGCTGCAGTTATATTGCTTACGCTCTTTAGAGTCAGAGGAATGTTTATCAATGGTTTTATTGTTCATTAGTTGGAAAAACAACACTGAAAGTGATTCCAATGACATTGTTCCTTGGTGTCATTATTGTTATATTCATGATGTTGACTTTGCTATTCAGTTATTGTTCTTAGCATTAACAGGCCTTAACTGATGTACTGTATAATAGTGGAAAAACTGTTTTTTTGTGGGGAAAAAAGCGAGACATGATGCAACAGGCAAAGAACAACATGTATATGCAGACCAACAATCGATCAGTCTACCTGAGTGCTGTAGTTGCTGCAGTGCTGAATGATCCTCTGCATCTCTTCATGCACCAGCTCCACACAGCGCAGACTGGGCTCCTCCAGACGCTTCACCTGCCTCTTCACCAGCAGCTCAAACGACACCTCGGGCACGAACAGCGCAGGACGGGGACCCTGAGGAAACACAACATCTACATTACAAACTACATTATATACAGAAATATACATCTCATACTATCTAGCTCTACAGTGTTATACAAGAGCCTCTTTAAATCACTCTAATAATGAAAGGTTCCTCAAAGGAGTTTTGCTAAAATAGAAACCTGCAGCTCAATGCAGAGCACAGCTGGCTGTGGTCTCTATTTTATATCCATACAAGTACAGACGGGACTAAATTCAAATTATAAAAAGGATGCGAGAGTCAAATATTCACTGCAAAACCTACTGTAGCGTTCCTAATAGCTGTGAGGACATCTATGGTTGTAAGTCCTCCAAGAGGATCGACCGACTCCAGTGTCCTACCAAACGTCTCATGAAAAATATAACAAATTCTTGCACCACCACACCTAAAAATATTAGAACAAACAACTATGTTTAGCACTAACACCACCTAGTTTGGGATCAGCAAGATTTTTTTATTTGAAAGAAATCAATACTTTTATTCAGCAAGGATGCATTAAATTGATCAACTGATCAAAATTACATTTTGAAATATATTTGTAATAATATTTCATAATAATACTGTTTTTAATGTATTTTTGATCATATAAAAGCCTTGATGAACATAAGAGACTTCTTTCAAAAACATTTAAAAAAAATTGTACCAAGCCTAAACTTTTGAATGGTAGAGTATATAGCAAATCAAACAGCTTTATTTGAGTGACTGGAAGAAAAGAGGAACTAACAGTTCAGCAGTTTCAATGTATTTGGCCGTTCCTTCAATAGTGTTGCAGTACTCAGTGGCGAACTTTGTGATGAGCTGCAGCAGGGTGGAGCTCATGTCCTCTACCGGCTCGCCGTAGCTGCTGAGCAGGGACTGATACTGAGCTGCTAAAACATTGATACGTGTCTTCAGCTCTGGTAGACAGTCCCTAATGTGATGCATCAATAACCTGGTGGGAAAAAAATTAGATTTTAATACTTCAAAAAGCAGATATGCTCAGCAAAATTAATGAAATATGATGTTTCAAGCTTAAACTCTCACCTATTTAATGTTCTGGCGAGATACTTGGTTCCATTTCTGTTGGCGAGGGAGGGGTATTTCTTCTGCAGGAAGGCATGCTCATCACGGATGGAGTCTGCCACACTTTTCTTATTATTGATATCCAGCTGACTCCTGTATTAAGACATTTAGTCATCTTTTCTTTTTTTTTTTTTACCCTTTTGTATATGTTTTGTATATCAATTTGAACAATCAATATCTTACTGCAGCCAGCGTTCTGCGACCTGAAAGCAGAAAAAAAAAAAAGTGCTGCGTCACTAAAAAAATCTGCATCACACAGCTATGTGGAAAAACATCACATCACACAAACTGAAAGGTACAGACATTGTGTGCAAAACAACAAATGCACAAGCAGACCAAAATAAACTTTAGTATGCTGACCGTCTGGATCCACCTCACGGGCCACTTTCAGAGCTTCAGAGGTGGCCATGTCTGTGTTCGCTGCAGTGACAGCTAAAATGATGCAGTTGGGATTGCTGATGTATTTTAAGATCAGCTCACGGATCTGCAGCTCGATATCTTTAGGCTGGTCTCCCACCGGGACCTGAACATGAATATATCAGTGTCAGCATCAAAAAATAATCCACAAAAGGAATATTCAAACAGGTCACGCTAAGCTACTGAATAAAACACCTTTGTGATGCCAGGCAGATCCACCAGCGTGAGATTGACAACATGTGGTGAGAAGATTTTCAGGTGAATTGGCTCATCACTGATCCCCTGTGAAACAATGACACAACGTTCTGTATTTGTTAAACTGCCGATGTCAATAGAAATTGCACTGCAGTTCAAAAGTTTGGTTTTTTTTTCATGTTTTTGAAACAAGTCTCTTATGTTCATTAAGGCTGCATTTATTGGATCAAAAAGTAAAAACACAAATATTGTAAAATATCATTAAATTGAAAATAACTTCAATTCATTTGATTCAAATCCATTTTAATTCATTTTTAAAATGTAATTTATTCCTGTAATGGTAACGCTTAATTGTCAGCATCATTACTCCAGTCTTCAGTGTCACATGATCTGTCAGAAATAATTCTAATATGCTGATTTGTTGCTCAAGAAACATTTCTTATTATTATCAATGTTAAAAACAGTTGTGCTGCTTAATATTTTTGTGGAAACTGTGGTAACTTGTTTTCCTGGATTCTAAAAAGTTGAAAGGAACAGCATTTATTTTAAACAGAAATCTTTTGTAAAATTATAATACCTTTACTTAAAGGGGTGGTTCACTGTTTTTTTTCTAGGCTTGATTGTGTTTATGGGGTGAAGTCTAACATGTGTTAATGCTTCGTTTTTAAAGGGGTCACATGATGCAATTTCAAGTTTTCTTTTCTCTTTGGAGTGTTACAAGCTGATTGTGCATAGATAAGATCCCTGAAGTTGCAAAGACTAAAGTCTGATATTATTGAAGAGGATCGTGCAGAACCTGTGCAAGCACAGCTTTTAATGGTAGGCCTATGTTTTTGGTTTGTTGTTGTCTCATACTTTTAGATACAGTGTTATTTGTAAATGCTACTGCTTATGTTAGCTTTTAATATATGGTATTATCCTAATTAACACTTTAATACAGTACGGCAACTGCACATGTATATGTATTAGATTTTTACGTGCACCTCTAGTTTTCTCTTCCTCTTCTCTAAAGCAGCGCAGCATGACCTCGCCCCCTTTGCTGCTTTTTCCCAAGGGCGGGGTTTATCTGGGTTTATTATGTCACGAACCCGGGAAGTAACTTCTTGTAGTCCCTACCAGCCGTTTTTGTAGGTATTAAACTGCCAGAATTTTAAAAGACGATATCTCCGTTTGCATTGACCTTTCAGCTTCGTAACTTTGCAGATATTGTTTATGCTCAAACAGCAACATTACACACTAACTAACTTTAAAAAAGTAAAATCGCAATGAACCACCCCTTTAATTGATATTTTTATCAATTTAATGCATCATTGTAAAAAAAATCTTACCGACCCCATTACTTGTAAACGGTAGCACACATACAGGTTTAAAAAATAAACTATCATCTGATTTAGTTCATTTAAGGACTCTTCCTTACCTTGTTATTTCCAGAAACTCTTTCAGTTTCATTTTCAATTTCTTGCCTGATTTCATCAAAATCTGTGTAGATCTAAAAGGCAGAGACACAAAATTAACAATCATGATATCTCACTTCACAAAGACTCAAACTTTCATAAAATTAAAGAGAAAAACACACCAAAGGAATGACATTAATTTTACATGAGGTGAACACAAAGCATGTATCTGGACTCAAGACCACACTGAAAATATCTCCTGTGATCATTTAGACCAATAGGAATTAAAGGGCTTGTTCTTCTTCATCTGTTCATCATCAAACTATAAAACCAAACAAACTCACTGCACTGTTGTTTGTAGCACATAAATGTGTCTGACAGCCAGAATGACTTAATAAAACAACACTATGCAGTGTCTCTTTGATGTAAGGACTTTTTCCACCTTTACTCAAATGTGAGGTAAGCTATATAGAGATTTGGATGATCCCATTTTAAACTCATCTTGAGACACTGGGTCTCATTCATTAACTATGCATACACAAATTTCTTTGTGATATTTGCATCTAACATTTTCATGATAATTCATCAATAACTTTTGTACCAAAATATGTCAAAATTACCAAAAAACATAGGAACAACAAAAACCAAATGTACACAAAAATATCACATGCTCTTGGAGGTCTTACAAACATGTTATGATTAAATATATATATATATATATATACACACACACACACACACACACACACACACACACACACAC